CTCTCTCTCTCTCTCTCTCTCTCTCTCTCTCTCTCTCTCTCTTTTTTATTCTTCCGTTCAGTTCCAGACACCAACGTCCTGGACAAATACGAATTCATTGCCGCATTAGCTTGGAACTCGAAGAGAGGAAATCTTCTTCTCCCTCCGTCCTCCAATCTCTTCTCGCCGAGGGTGAACGAACGAGGATACCGATAGGAATCAAGAGACCGGCTCTTAAGGATTTCGTGCGATTTCAGTTGATTTTTATTATCAGTCCCCGCCCTCTTCCCCAAATTTCCATTCTCGACTCTTAGGATCAAGTTTTAAGGTGGGGGAAAAATTCGTAGAAACCAATCGAATAAGTTCTCCAAGCACGCTTCGAGATTCGACGCTTTCGAGATTTTCGTTCGATCTCGATTGAAATCCAAAAATCTGGACTGGTTAGGTCTCTCGCTATGAATAGTATTGATAGAACGTATAAGCAATTAACAAACGGTTGTTGTAATAAAAACGCAATAGAACGTTGTATAGGGAGGAGGAAAGGGAACGCCAAACCGTATTTGTTGCATTTTAAAATTCTCCGCGTAAAAAAAAAAAAAAAAGGCGTAATATTCGCGAAGTACACGAATCGAACGCTCAACAATCCCGCGAAATTTGCTAACGACCAACCGTGAAACGTATCCATTTGTTTCGTTTAACAATTTTTATCGCGGTAACATGCCGTTCCCTTCGTATTTATCCACCGTGATATTTTCTTCCTTTTTATTACCGTTGATGCGATTTATGCGCTCGTTTAAAATACCCTCCTTTTTTTTTTTATCCCCGAATGTATATTTTCTTTTTTCTTTTGTAATTGTTCCGTTTTGTAATTCGCGAACGAAACGAAAGATACGATAATAGAATAATAGCTTATGAAACGTTACAGGAATGTCGTTGAATACTTTCAAACGTTATCGAGCATTTGAGTAATAATAATGCACTGTGATCCGGGCGACGATTCACTGTGAAACGGAATTTTTGGCCGAGGATCTACGAGGGTAAAAATTTAATGAAAATTTTGTGTAGCTGTTGCTACACATGCATACAAATCGATAACAGTTCGTCAGGCAGGACAGATCGATCATTTTTTTCGGCTCGCTTCGTCACGGGACGTGGGCGAAACAATTATTGCACGATGATCTACATTCGAGTAACCGTGGCTATTTTTTAATATCAGATCAAACGAGCGGGATACAACGTGGGCCCGGCTCGTGATTTGAAATTCAATCGATTCGTTTTTTTTACAGGACCGGTGTACGCGAGCAAAGTCGGGCCAACCTTAATTCGATTCCGTGCCAGAGAAAAATTAACTTCTCTGCACTGCGCGAGGAGAATTTTTGCCGAGAAATTGAGGGGAATCGATCGATGCATCGATCGAGATAAAAACATTACGAGAATTATTCTTCTATCTCGCCGTGATCTCCTTGACAAATTTTCTTCGACACGGCGCGAAAATGTAATTATACGCCACAAAGAAATCTGTATCAACGAAATAACGACATTTCCAGAAGGTGAAAGCGCGGAAACGGGCGAGACACGCGTGCGATATTATTTATTCGAAGAGTATTGGATTGCAGATCCCGGCAAATACCACTTTTTCCGACGGAAATTGAATTTAACGTTTCTTGCGTGCCCGTTCATTTTAATGGGGCAACGATCGATTCTCGTCGCTTCCAATTGCCGCCGCCACCAATCCCGACCGAACGCACGTGTACTCGCAAAAGGGGGTTTACGCGAAATTATAATGCGCGGCACACCTCCTGTGGCATTAGATTAAAACCATCTTGAATATAAAATATTTTCGTACGAAAATAGAAGAAAAAAAAAAGTATTCCTTTGTATTTTAAAAATATTTGCAGAGTGGGAAGAGGGAGGAAGCGAGAGAACAAATTTCCTGGATTCCTGGACGAGATGATTTCACCAGACGAATCGCGGTCGAACTTCTAATCAACAGCGAGAAAACGGGGTGTCAGATCGTTTCTCCTCCCTATCGGGAGGAAGTCAGTCACGAAGCTTGGCTCATCATCTATCTTAGTTTCCCCACCAGATCGACGTGGCAACTACTCTAAATGACGCGATTCCTGACCGAGATAAGAATGGTCCATGTTCGAGTTTCGTTCGGAATACATGCGGCGAACAAAAAGACCGCGACGAACATTTAAACGTAGCTTCCATCTCGCCTGAAGGTAATTAAGAAATTGATATCGAATCGAATTTTTAAAGGAATTAATTTTAATTCAATTTTAGATTTTTCCACTCGATAAGATTTCTAACAGTTCTATAGATAAAGGCAAAAATTAAGAGGATTCTTAATTCTTATCGCGAACGCTTTAATTGTAAATTATTTAAGTTTCAAGTACTACGTTTACAAGTTGTTTTCTCGCGATTCGGGTATTTCACGGAAATATATGATATCTAAAAAAAAGAAAAAAGAAAAAAGAAAACACCATCCATAAAATCAATTTCTCGAACACATTGAATCGCCAACGTACAGGATAGCAAATATCAAATTCGGTTGCAGCAGTAAACGGTATGGCGGCAGTACAAACACGAGTTTACGAGACGTCTAACCGAATTTTCGAATTTTTTTCTTTTTTTTTTTTTCCTTCCTCCTCTCCTCCTCGTGGAAACGTAATCGTTCTCGATCCGTTGTATCCCGTTTCGCGGTAAATTGCGAACGTTCTCCCGGTTCAGCAGGGCAGAACGTACGATCCGCGAGAATTCCACGTGTGTATACGGCCGCGCTTGTTGTTGCCGATGGTTAAGATCCTCTTTCATCTTCAGAGCTCCCTCGTGCAGGGTTTACAGCGATATGGTGTGCTATACGGCGCGCTTTTAGCCGTATTACTTCCGTCGAAATTGCAGCTTCCAGTATAAACTTTATTACATCTTATCGTCCTGCCCTGTGACTTCTTCACGAAGGGGAAGGGAGGAGGGAAGTTATTTCGATTCCGTTGTGCGGTTTATAAGGCGTCTTCGCCCCTTCTCAAAATAATATACGAGCTCGTGTGTACATATATATATATATATATATACCTGCGGTGGAACGTATGGCTGCGAATAGCTCATGCAAACGTATTCCTAGTCGAACAACTTTATCGAGAGAATCGAATCGGGGGATGGATGGTTTCGAAATCGATCGAACGTGGGATGAATTCCGCGTCGAAAAAAAGGAAAACGCAAACGTCATTCGCAGATCGCAAAGCGAGCATTTTACAAAATTTTTAATCAATCGTGAAAAAATTCGAACTGAACCATCGTAATAACGTTTATACTTCGATATAATCGTAATAATTGGCGGGAGGGAAAATTATTTTTTTTCCACGATTACGCGAGATTTTCAAACGACAGAAGATTATTTCGTCGAATCGATCGTTGGACGAAATTGTTGAAAATGTATATACGCGGTAAACGAAGTTAGGAAAGCTAGGAAAAATGTTCCCTTTTCACCAGGGGTTTCACCAGGGGCGGGCCACGGCGCATAATTAAAGCGTCTTCGATGATAGAGGACGGAAAATATGAGAGGGAAGTCTATCGATAATCACCAGCCCCGCTACTCCGTGTTTCAATACGTTGGAAATCGCAAAAGTGTTAAAAAGGGCTTCAAGGGCGGACTTCCCTAAGTACAGAGGGATAGGTATTCACTATGGCTACCCGGGGATTCGACGTACGCAATTAAAGAGTATCTCGCGTTCTCGAGTGCTCCGTTTCGAAACAATTAGAGCCACAGACACCCCTTTCTCTCTCTCTCTTTCTCTCTGCCCCAATACAACGTCTATAAAAGCTTCGCGTAAAATAATTCCGCGCAGAGTGGTAAACAGGAACTGAAAAACAGGAAACAGGTAGGAGAACGAGGCAAAACGAAACAATCTCTAACGTTGCAACACCGAAATAAACAAGTACATTCCAAACAATTTCCAGTTACATCGTTCGACGGAAGAATAGAATTCCAGCGAGGAAGGAGAAGGCAACCAGTTCAATTTTTCTCTTTAAATACGCGAGGTTCGAAACACCTGAAACAACATTATTCGTTCATTGAAGGCAATCAGTTTAATTATTTTTTCTCTCTAAATACGGGACGGATTCACATAAATAATAAAATTCGAGTTTATTCGTTCCATTTCCCCCCCCCTCTCTCTTCTTTTCGAAATTTCGTTATTTCCGAAGAAAACGGATGCTCTCACTCGACTCCAGTGACATTTACCAGATTTTTCTGGTAGATCAATGTTGTATACGCGATATACGTAATTATCATGTAACGTCGTTGGTTTATTGTGGATCAGGCAACGCGAAAGATTAATTCGCTCGTTCCATTGTTTTGGATTAGTCCATCGTTCTCGTGACCGTTGCCCTGCAACCGACCGCGGCCTGCCAGCCAAACTCCTCCACCATGAATTTATTCATACACGCCGGTGCTCGTCGTGGACCTTATTCCACCGTGGGCATCGCCGAACTTGGCGCACGGTGGCGCAAAATGTATGATTCCGCCTTGAAATATCGCGAGCCTGCAGCTGGCATCCGAGCGTTAACGATGTTGGTAAACTTCGCCAATGGGAAAATATTAACCGTCACTTTGGGAGAGGCGTCCCTTCCCAGTTCTCGTATTTTTTCATTTTGCTTA